GGAGGAGAGCGATCAGGTGTCAGCCGCCAGGCTCTAGCGCGCTGTAGCAGGTGTAGAGAGACTGGCCATAACACACGTACATGCAAGAAAGATATTATAGATAGTAATTAATCTATTACGTTAATATCTATCAAAACTAACATAATGTGGTGGAGCTATACGCTTATAGATGTGCGCAAAGTTGGTGGGGTGGCTCACTCGCTTGTATGGCTCACTCGCTTATAAACTACGTTACCGCTTTGAGTAACATGATGAACTAGCATATGCCTGGTTGTTGTGCTAATCATGTTTCGTGTTAGGCGCTACAAGACAGACTATGGTGCTAAGATTTCTTCCCATATCAACCGCTACGGGCGGGTATGCAGCTATAAATTTCATGGTCAAATTTATATTTAAGCAAACATGTAAGAGAAAACTTTTGCTTTCTATGAATCCTGATCTGAGTAAAGCAGTTCTTCTATTAAAGATAATTTCGCTCCATGGTATCGTTATTAAACCCTTTTGTTTCCTTGTAGAACGCCACCAATCCAAAATCGCATGTTGTACAAAACAGCCCCACACTCTTGATATTACGTTGGAAGCATATATGCCAGAGAAAGAAAAGGAACCGAGACTACTACTTCTCCGTCTTGTCTGACTTGACTAATTCAGGCCCCCAAAACGCATCAGACTCTTTTTCGTAGCCCTCTCTCGCAAGCTTTCTCCTCTTTGCTTTACTTTCCTCTAGCGCATCGCCTTGAACTGCATCTCTCTTCTGAGCTTGATTCAATTTTACTAAATCGACCTTGTCTGGGTCCCGGCAGTTCTTCAATTTTTGCACGAGGGCTTTGACTTCGGCTTTGTGTTTTGCTTCCCGAGCGTCACGCTCAGCGGCGGGGAGCGTAGCGTTGACGTATAGGCGGTGGCTGGAGATGAGGGAAGCGCATGAGCGCAGAGTAGATAGGAGTTTGGCGTGATGGGGATGTGATTGCGGGAGTTTGGTTGAAAGGTAGAATAGGGTGAGGGGCTCGTCTGCGAGGAGGTGGGCTGAGAGCCAGATTTGAGATGGCGTGTAGAGGAAGTATGCGTCTGTGAGCACAGCGATGGTACGTAGTGTGTTTGTCGCGGTGCCGTATGCTGCGTGGATTCGCTCTTCAACCTTCTTCTCTGGCATCTTGATAGCCGTACCGCCAGTCTTGGTAGGTAGTGAGAGAATCTTGTTCTGCACTTCCTTTGGTGTCATATCCTGGACGGGCCCCTGGTACTTTCCGTGCACCATCTCCAGCAGTTCCATATGGCCGGCCTTGAGGGCGCGGAAAGGGTGGCGTACGTCGAGGTTGTACCGCAATCCTTGCATGATGATGTATTCGGGTGCGAGAACGTCTTCAGTCGTCACATTGCGCCCGGCGCCTTCTGCGTACTGTGAGACGTGGATGTTGAAGAGCTCAATCTTGGTGGCCATGAACATGATGGTACGCAGGATGGTGTTGACGTGGTAGGTCATGGGCGAGTTGTAGAGATAGAAGCGGCGCATGAATTGGATACATGTTGCCTGGGAATTGTATCAGCTGGTAAGCGAATTACGATATTGCCAGGAAGCGGCGTACAACTACGTTCAATGGAAAACTGTAATGGTTTCCTAGTGCGATGGCGCGTTCGCAAAACTCATTGACCACGGTGAGTTCCTCTTCGGCAGTCAGACAATTGACCTCCGTCGTCGTCTGCATGCCTGAATTGGGAGTATTTGCCCCGCTCGCATTTTCCTTGTCCGCGCCAGGTGGCGCAGCGTCACTGTCTACAGCATCCTGAGCGCGCTGCGCTCGCACTCGGGCAAGGTTGGCCTTGACGCGCTCAGTGGCCTGGAGGTTGATCCTTAGACGTTTCTCGGCGAGTTGTGCGCGAGTAAAGGACCAGTTTCGATACTGTGTCGAGTTGCGATAGAGGTCGTCTTCGGTGAGCTTCATGGCCGGGCTAGAGTTGATTGGTGGTTGCGGGAGCGGGACGTTGGTGGTGAGAGGAGGATGTGCAAGGGTACGGGAGGCTAGCCGAGGTTTGCCCGCCCGCAGTCTTTCATCCCATCTCACCACCACTGCAATGTCGTACTCCAAGACAGACGTTCACAACCCCCGGCAACAACAAGCTCTTCAAGCTTTGCAAGATCACTCTCGATCGTCTTGGTTAAGACCAAAACTGCTCATCCCCCCAGGTATAGTACCGTGGCCGTGGTTTGCACTTGGTACTATCCAGTACTAGCAAGAACACGCAGTATGCACCTTGTTCGCGCAGGCCAATCAGCCTGGGCAACACAACTCCATTCCTAGAACGGCCTCAATTGTGCTCAAACGCAGCCCACTATGCGCTCGATTGACCATTGGCAGTAGTGTCTTGGTCCAGGCAAAGGCTCCTACAAAGACGCTCGTTTTTCCCGCTGCTTTCTCCTGGCAACGTTGCGCTTTTTTACTCCTACTCCATGGCTCCCACAGATTCGCCTCACCTCGGCCTCTCCATCCCAACCGCATCGCACTTCTACGCCAAGCCGGGTATAAATATGATGAATGTAACGACCTGCCTACCTCTGCGATAAGGCCATCAGTCTACGGCATGGCGTCAGCGCTTTTGCCTTTGCCCACTGCCAGTGCACTTGGACCAGTGCTGACATGTTTGCCACAACACGCTCCTACAGGAAGGTGCTCGCAACGAACGACTGCGGCTAATGGCTCCCGTCGGCTGGTGATGGGCTGCGTCTTTTCAGGCCCTCTGTAGACGTTGATGGCCGATGGCAGGGTGCTTGGATTTCTTTGGTCATGTAATTCCACAATGGCTTGGCAGCAACAGCAGCTGCCTAATCCGACCACGCTATCTGGGAAGAAGATTAGCACCTGGCCTTCACGGCTCCATAGTAGCCCCGCCACCCTGCTGACCAGCGTGATCTGCGTACCTGGACAAAGAAATCAAGACGATACCCCCAGCTTCCAGTACAGGTGGCAGTAGCAGTAGCAGTAGCAGTAGTAGCAATAATTTACCATTTTTGTAGTTACTCTACTACCGTTGCTTTTGTTGGAGTTTTACTAAGGACCTGGTTTGCTGTTTGCAGGACGCATACCATGTGCTGCCATGTGGATGTCCGGCCGAAATGGCGGCCAAGAACCGTCTCATGCTTGGCACAGGAGAGTTGATATGGGAACCCTACCCATAGCCGTATTCCCAAGACCTGGCAGACTTGGCTTGCATACTATTGCATGCCGCGCCCAGTATTGTTGCTTCTGCGCGCGTCTTGGATCATTCTACTCGTCGGTTGTAGCTATGATAGGAAGGTCTGTATAGTGGCCGCGACCGAGGGCAAGAGACCACCATGACTTAGTCGGTGCTTCCGGTGGTGTAGTACGGAGAGGGGAAAGATATATAATGACTATGCTTGTGCTCCCAAATTGAGACCCACACCCAACTGCTCAAGTCAATCCGCAGTCGTCTTCGTCACCATGAAGTGGGCTACCATCACCGCGGCTTTGCTGCCACTGGCTTCGGCCAGCGGCTTTACTCGTCAGGAATATGCCTCGGGAGAGGTTATGGAGCTGATGATGAACGGCAAGGAGGTAGTTTCGAGAATATCCATCTGTTGTCTGAGATACTAACATATTTAGACTGCATGGGCAAAGCAACGTGCTGCTGGCAAGTTCGATAGCGCCAGATGGAACGGCTTTGAGAAGAAGAGGACCGACAAGAGCGTTATCAAGTGCAAGTTTGGTCGCGTTGAGGCTGTCAAGGACGACCCAGACCAGACGTACAGGTGCAACAACATTGACTTGTACGACTTCAAGACGCACGCCGAGCTTGGTGACCCCATCGGAGACGGTTCTGGATCCTGGGGATGGACACACCGTGGCCGTGAATTCGTAAGCTTACCCTGGTTCATGTTCTTTTTTTCCATAGTCGGACTGGGAGAATTTCTTTTTTTTCTTCCGCGTTCGGTTCGGTGTTGTCCTGATGGACGGCGCTGTGAGACTGGAATTACGTGATATCGAATCACGTGATATACCACTACACACCAGTACTAACTATCACACAGATTGCCATCGGCCAAACCTACGGCGCTTCCTTCTCTGAGGTTACTAGGGAAGGAAAACTCGAATACCTTGGTCGTCTTCCCGCTCAGAACGACTCTGTCATCTGGCGCGAGATCAAAGTCCTCGGCGACTCTCTTATTGTTGGATCCGAGGGTATCGGCCACCACGTCCAGATCTTTGACTTGAAAAAGCTTCTTAAGCTTTCTCCCAAGAATCCTTACACCTTTGATAAGGTTAAGGATGTTGCTCTCGTCGACATCAACCAGGGTATCAAGGGTCGTACCCACACTGTCGTTGCCAACGAGGAGAAGAACTACGCCGTTGCCTGCGGAGCCGGCGGTCGACCAGGCCGTAACGATACTTGCGCTGGTGGTCCCATGTTCATTAACATGGATGATCCAACCAAGCCCTATGTTGAGGGTTGTTAGTAAGTCAAACCTTTACATTCACCCTCCACCCCCACCCCCCCCCACCCACACCCACACCCACACCTACACTCCACGTCCACAAAAGCTAACTCTCCTATAGTTCCGGGGATGGGTACGTTCACGACAGCCAATGTATCGTTTATAGAGGCCCTGATCGACGTTATTACGGACGTGATATCTGCTTCCTCTACGCAGAGGATACATTAACCATCATTGACGCAACGAACAAGAAGGGTTTCGGCACCGCTGGAAAATTGATCTCCAGGACACCCTACGTCGGTGCTTCATACACGCATCAAGGATGGGTGATTGATCCGTACTGGCAGACACATCTTGTTTTGGACGACGAGCTCGACGAGGGTCAGATCGATCCCAACCGCACTGCTGTAGACTCACCTGCGCGCGATGGCTTTGCCGTAACGTATATCTTGGACATCCAGAACCTTGAGAAGCCTTTCGTTAGTGGTCTTTACAAGACTACTGTCCGCTCCGTCGACCACAACCAATATGTGTACGATGGTCTTTCCTACCAGTCCAACTACCAGGCTGGGCTTCGCATTCTTGACGTCTCTTCGATTCCAAAGTATCCAGATGGCTCCAAGGTCAAGGAGATTGCGTACTTCGACGTCTACCCTGGTGATGATGCCAAGCCCGGCGGTGGTGATGCTCTCTGGGACGCCGGCACCTGGTCCGCCTACACCTTCGACTCCGGCTACGTCGTCATCAACACCATCGACCGCGGTGTCTTCGTTGTTAAGCAGGCCGATGTCAAGGGCCGCAAGAAGGGCAAGGGTCAGTTCTGGAAGGACTAGGTTTATCACAACAAGCAGCTAGTCACTGCCAGATTAATGCTTAATGAACATGGTTCTTTGAATAGAATCGGAAAATACAAAAGTATAAATTTCCAAAATCCATTGCTCCACTCGCGTATTATTGTGTGATAGTAACGCTGTTTCCATAATGTAAATTGATGTTTGGAGGGCGAAGGGAGTTGCATGCGTAGGTTGACATAGTCATAACATCCGGTGTGGAGGTCGAACCAACAACAATCTCCTTAATTTCGAAAATAATTTCTCATTTTCAGTCTTGCAAGGTTCTACATAAACATTAAACCAAAATGAGATATGGGACCTAGGAATTAGCGAGCGATGCGATGTACAAAGACGGTGGGTGAAAACGGGACCCTTCCCGATTAGGCAATTTGAAGCCCAGGTGTAGATTTCAGTAGCCGATGCAATCAATCTGCACCTAAGTGCTGCAAATTGCAGCAGCAACTTGCACCCAAACCTAAAATCTTCCGTTCGATGGGAGTTACCCAAACGGGCAACCCTGAGCAAAAAGCGTGGATTACTGTGCGAAAAAAATAAGCAAAGTGCAGCAATCTTCATGCTGTATCTAGTATCCGTTGGTGCACTCTAGGTCGACGGAAGAGAAGTTACCCAAATAGGCAAGTTTGGCATGAGGGGTGTGGATGACTGCAAAAGAAAAGACGTCGTGTTCGTTTGTGTCTGCGGTTTCCAGCTGCGGTTTCGGCCATTTTGGGTTTAGCGCGCAACACACCCAGACGGAGACAGAAAACAGAGGGCTGTTCAGTTGCAGCTCTCCGTTTTGTCCCAACATCCTGATCATGGGATTTAGCCAACACTTCCCCACGTAGAAACTGAGCGATTCCGCTGTAATTCTACAGCAAACAGGGTTTTTGACATTTCACAGTACCTTGGAGAATAATACTTCAAACCCCTCAACTCTACAGACCACTCTGCCATTCAGAGCCTCCATTTTGGAAACGGAGCCCAATCCAATTAGCAAAACACAAAACGCAAAACGCGCAACCGAACAGGCCCTGAAACGGGAAAAAAACGTAGGCCAACCGAACAGACCCCTCCAAGCCTGCCACAAAACGGAGACCCCATTTACGTTCGGTTCCGGTGCAGCTCTCTCCGTCCCCGCTAAGCCTTGTTCAGGCGAGTGACGTAGTTTGGTACCACGGCGCTGGACACTCCCGGTTGCGAAATCAGACAGGACCCTGTTTTTTCCCTCTGGACCCAACCTATCGGTGCTTATCTGATGAGCGAGGCATGAAAAAAGGGGAGTCAGTTGCAAGTCGAGAGACAGAGAAACGGGCGCTCAAGGGCGTAGAAGAAAACAACGGAAGCGCTCGTCATCTACTTATTTGCCCATCTTTTGTGCATTCTGCGCGACTCTACCATTACTCGCAGGTGCATATATAAAAGGTGAACGGCATATAGCCTGTGCATACTTACTTACAAATCCCACTCCATACATTTCTCACCTCAACTAATCTACCCACTACACACCACCCCTCGGGCCCCCCGTATCTCCCTTGCTCCATCCGTCTTATCGGTACCGGACAAACAAGATACCCTCTCCACCCCCCACACACAGCCAATCACCTCTGCATGCCAAATCCAAACTGCCACACTTGGTAAGAAGCCAGCTTGAGGCGTTGATTATAGTGGGTTTCCGCTCGTTCCCCGATGGACCCTCGCTGCTCCTCCTTCTCCTTCTTCGTCGTTAACGTCTGGACTCGGGGCGCCGACATGGGATGTTCCCTGTTTTTTTTTTCCTCGAAAGGGAGGGAGGGGCGCTTTCGCCTCTTTCGGGGTCTCCCCACCACCAACCCATCATTACGATCTCCTCCGCCCTTGGTATACGAGGGGTTAAATCACGCCACTTGTACGTAGTTACGACCTGGTGTCGAGATGTTTACATTGTACAAGGATGAACTTTTTGAATTTCTAATATACCTGATTTTGCGCCACGTTGAGCCAGATAGTCGTCAAGAAAAAAAAAGAGTCATGTTTTACCACCGTCCCCCTAAAACGCCAGCCATGCAATCATAAAATGAGCTTCCTCATTGCGACATGGGAGCTTAATCCACGTATTCGGACCTGACCTTCTTCGCTCTCCTCTTGTTCGCCTTGAAATGCTTCTTGCTGTTCATCTTCATCTCCGCTGGATCAACATCCTGCTCCAGCGCTGCCATCATCTTGGCTTTCCTACCGCTCAGCTCCTTGCCTTGCTCGCTATACTTGTAGTGGAATGGTTGGCTGACCTTGGCCATTCCTTGGCCTGGTCCAAAGAAGCGCTTGTCCATGCGCTGTGTCTTCTCACCTTGAATAGGTACGCCACCGTCAAAATCGTCGTCCATCAATGATGCGCCATCCTCGGGCATGTCCGCAAGAGATGTGTTACCGGGAACGTTTGCAAGAGGGTGGTGGCGACGCTTAGCGGGTAGATGGTTCACATCGTAGAGCTCGCGGTTAAAGTGCTTCTCGTCAATCGGTGGCTCAGTTGGTGGTGGGTGACAGAACAAGATCTTGCCCTTGACGTAGTCCTTGAGAATGTATCGCGCTGCTCGTGATTCATCGGGTTGACCGAGACCCTGAGTGGAGAAGCCTCGAGCAATAGCAAAGGCGCGCAATACTTCTTCAGAGGTAAGGACACCAGTGCCACCCTCCTCAAGAGGACGAGGATGGATCTTCATTCCATAAAGCGCTTCCAGGAATCGTTGTGGAATTCGCCTAGCAACAAGACCTGCAGGGCCAGTGTACTCTCGCAGTTGGTCAATTGGAAGGACACCGGCGCACACAAGCTCAGCCTTGGTTGTCGCAAAGTTGGGGAATACGAGACCAGGGCAATCGCACAACACGACCTTGTCGCTAAGGTGAATAGTTTGGAAGTGCTTCGTCTTTCCGGGTGTTGCAGAAACGGACACCTTTTTGGCGCCGATCAAAGCGTTAATCGTGGATGACTTTCCTACGTTGGGGTATCCAACAAGACCAATCGATGTCTTGCGCGGCTCGCCATTAGGGCCCGTTTCGACATCTGGTGCATGTTGTAGGAAAAGTGCCTCGAGATCTTCTGTTGTGAGAATTCGCGTTCGCTCGTCACCATCTGCGCTGGCACTACTCTCGCCAGGAACGTCGACTGTCTCCTCATCTACCCACTTTTCCTTCTCTTCCTTTTTGTCTTGTAGGTCAATCTTCTTGGCCTCCTTTGCGAGCTCGTCGTCTTCCTCGTCAACTTCTTCGTCTTCATCCTCGTCCGAGTAGTCCTCAGAATCACCCAATTCGTCGCTGTCCTCTGCCAACCCACGAGCCTCGTTCATCTCCTTGGCCAGTTCAGCCGAGAAAAACTTGTAGTTAATACCAGCTTCAGTGAAATAGTCGGCCCAGATTTTTCGCTGCTCCAGTGTCATCATATCCGCCTTGTTGACCAGCAGCAAATTGTTCTTCTTAGGATCGACCTCCTTGACATAGTCCTCCAAATCTTCAGATCGGAACATGAGCGGGTTTCGGGCATCCACGATTTGCACGACGAGATCGGACCGTTCGATAACACGCCACAGTTGCCTCCATACCTCGAGGTTGCGCTCAAAAGGCGTCATAAGCAGATCGTTGTTCTCTTGCAATTCCGCCAAGCCTCTTCGCCACTGCAGCAGCGCTGACCTTTCCAACTCGTCCAACTCTTGAGGCGTAGTCTGCGCATCCCACTTTGGTCGCCTCGGCACTGTCAACCTATTCCTGTTCTCCTTGTGTCTCCGAGTGACGTTGCGCTCCTCAGCTGCTGACAATAGGTATGGGTTCTTCTGGTCCTTGTGAATGATCTTGACGTTGTTCATCTTCTCGGCTGTGAAGTCGGTACCCGCCAATTCGGCAGTCGAAAGGAAGTCGTCAAGAGCGCCTTGCTCAGTAACGGAGCGCATCTTCACCCATGCCGCCTCCTTCTTCTCGTTGGTGATGTACTGCAGAGTATTAGCATGATTCAACAACGGACTATGAGCCTTCTAAACAACTGCGCTTTTCTGCGCAAGCCTGCGACAAGACTCTAATGTAATGTTTCCATACCTTCTCACCATTTTGACCTGTTCGCTCGATTCCCTGGTTAAAGTTGCCCCTCCGCATGTCCGCGCCCTTGCCCTTGCTGAACCGATCGTTCATCAGGCTGTTGCCCAGCCCGACACTCTTCTTGGACTTTGCGAGCACCATGTTTACTGCTAATTTCAAATATTCTGTAGTTGTGGTGTGTGATCCCAAAAGAGGGGTGTGAGTCGAAAGAGAAAGTTGAGAACCAAAGTTGCCCCACGTCATTCACTGGTTCCACTCGCCTAAATTATTTTTTGAGCGCCCGACGCCAAAAGACCCTTCCTGCCTCGTTTGTAAGCGCGATTCCCCAGACTTCCACAACCAACACTTGCCACTTCAGCACATACCCGAAAAAAGTTACACCACGCCTGCAAGATGCCTCGCCGAAAGTTCATGTAAGTAGACAAATTGCGCGTTCTGTGATACCCCGCTAACCCCGCGAATAGCGATAAGAAGACGGCGATAAACTTTCGCCTCGTGCACCGCGCACAGAATGACCCGCGAATCCACGATGAAGACGCCCCGCAGATGGTCTTTGCCGAGACCGTTGCGCCAAACCAACGCGAAGTATCGGAGCCTGCAGGAAGTTCGCGAGCGTCGCAATACTCGGCGGCGACGGGACGAAGCAAGATCAAGTCAAGACGTGATCTAGAGAGCGAGTACGGATCCAAAGTGCGGAACAACGAGGGTGAAGCTGCCAACTATGGCATCTTCTACGACGACACCGAATATGACTACATGCAGCACATGCGCGACCTGGGCACCGGTGGTGGCGATGCCTACTTTATCGAGGCCAAGCAGGAAAAGAAGGGAAAGCAAAAGATGGATTTGGCCGACATGCTGCGAGATGCGTCGCTGAACGACAGCAAGAGCCAGGCCGACATGAGCGTCAGCAGCAATATCAGCAGTGTGAGCGACTTCTT